GAGCTCGGTGCTATAACGATGTGCGAGCATTGTCCGAATGATATAGAATGGCAAGCGACATCGGGCCGCGCGAGCGAAGCGTTGAATTGTAGGGAAGAAAGAGGGACAGAGACGCGGACGCGAAGAGAGACCAGTCAGTGGCCTTCATTTGGGTGCAAATGGAGTTTTTCCTAAATGGACGTTTCGAAAGTTTGCCGCTGTCAGGCATTGTTTGACCGGCGATGGAAGGACGGGGGGTGAGGACGGGACGGGTAAGGGCGCTGGCAGCGGGGTCGACGTGGAATCAAGTCTGCCAAGGCTTTGATTAGCTGACGTCACGGAACCAAAGGCTTCTCCGATTGTTCGTCTGGTATTTATAGTTGGTTCGTTCGTCTTTCTCCTCGTAGCAATTGTCACCCTGCTGTTCCTTGTTTTTTTCCGTATTTTTCGTATCTTCATCTTCTCCCTTCCTTTCCATTTTCCCGTTCCTTTTTCTCCCGTTTCTTTTTCGCGTTTTCGGAATCATATCGCCTTTCGCAGAGGAACATAATACAGGGACGTTTGTCTTATTATTATTCCACGTGTGTACCGCTCGCCTCGTGATTAAAAAACTCGTTGATGGTCTAATGAATTTCTAAAAATCGTTTCTCCAGCCGTTCTCCATTCTTCCCTTCTTCAATTTCAATTCCGAATTTTCCGTTATTTTTCTTTGTTGCGTCAGAGGCGAACCATTTGTTAGTTCGGTTCCGTTGTATAGTTGATTGTAGATAGGTCACGCCGCCGTTTGTTTGCCGAAGCTCTTATCTTTGTAACACCGTACATAAGACAGGTGCAATTAATCACATATTCATTATCCATATTGCGCGTCATTTCACCGCGAGTGAAAATTCGTTCGAAAGAACAATCTACGACAGTCCGCGCGTAATAATTTTGCGAGGAATGCTCACTTTCCATCCCGTGCCGTTATTCACTTTCTCTTTTATTTGCCTCCTGATCGGAAATGGTTGTTTCGCATCGAACGAAGCGAAAATCCCTGAACGATGTAAATTTCCGTGGTTCAATCAGACGTATATATCGTCTACACGTGATCGAAACACGAGCGACGGGCACTAAAAGGAAAAGCAACGAGAAATCGTTGCTTTACGACAGTAATTAAGCGCGACTTCGCTTCGGAGACCGCAACTAATGCTCGCCTCCCGTTCGATCCCCGGAGCTTCATTTGCTCGCGCGTCCAATGATGCCGCGCCACTTTGATCTTTGAGTCGAGCACTTACGAAAGTGAGATCGTTCAATCTGCGCGTTGGCATATGTTGGCGAATCGTGAATTTCGCTGAAACACGCGTTTTCGCGAATAAATTGGAAAGGCACTACCAGCTTTGTCCCACTTTAAACGTCTCTCGCTTCCCCAATTTGCCTGATATCTATTTATTGCGTGCCGCTATTCGCTTTTGGTATCGAAATCTATCTATCGTATCTACTTTACTACGAGGTACGAATAATGCGAAATAATAACTCAGATTTAATGAATTTCTGTGCAGTGCCGAAGGTGGAAATAGTGGATGAACATGGCGCTACGGCCGGTGACAAGTTCTACAAAGCAGGTAGTACAATAGAGCTGAAGTGTGTAGTCAGCAATATACCGCAACCCACTGGCTATGTCACGTGGCGACACGGATCTCGTACGTTAAATTACGACACAACCCGTGGTGGCATCAGGTAAGGCTACAGACGACACGATATTCCCGGTACTAGATGCGCCTTTTTACAAATAGCGACGTAAATTGTTCGTAACTATCGTAGGAAAGTATCGGATCTTGATTTGTATTCGTCGTTATGCGCCATTCGTTTGACGTGCAACGTAACGGCGTTGCGCCTAAATATAGCTGGTTAACATTCTGAATAATTTGGTCGACGAGAATTCGATAGTTTATGCAGCCTGCATAGGCAGGTATTCTAATTGCCCCGACAAAGAATGGTACGCCCGGTGAATTTTGAAAGGCCTCCATTAAAGTTCCCGGGTAAACGGTCAACGGGTTGCGGCAGGCTTCTGCCGTGTGTGACCTAATTGGTTATAGATATGACAGCATTCATGAATTTCAAACAGCAGTTTCAGACAGTATTTGATGTTGTCGGTTTCGTAGAACGATTTTTCAATCAGCGATTCATCGATAAAACAATTTCGAATTTTTCTCAGATATGCGGCAATATATTCCCTTTGTCTGACGGTTCGCTGCACCTGCTTCGTTCGTTTTGGCTATGATCGGTTGGTTGACGTCGCACTTGACAGTCCGTGCGATATAATAGCGTACGTTTAAAAAAATCTACGAGAAATTAGCAATATTGCGATCGATATTGCAGGTTGAAAGAAAGGATGCGGCGAGGCACCAGGTGAACTGTTGACAATTTAATCGGCCTCGAAAACGCTCGATTATAGCGGGCCGACACATGATGAACGAGCTCGTTGCTTGTGCCAAACGCAGGCAGCGGGCTTTGAATAAAACATACAAAACTTTCAATCACAGGCGAGGCCGCGGGTACGATTAACAGAAATTAGATCGATTAGTTGAAATTAGCTATAGAATTAGATTAGAACAATTAAAAAGGACCTTCGGTAATTTTAGTCTAATAAAATTTATTGATTAAGTGCATCAATAACACATTTACGTTTTCAAATTGTTAACTAAAAATTCTAAGTATGTTAATATTCTTCTAAAATCTTTTTTCTCTCTCTAAATTCTTTTTTTTTTAATCTAAAGTAATGATATTATATTCGATAAAAATTAGATCAATATCAATATATGTGGATAAATCTTGTGTTCAGGAAAACATTATATTCCATCATTCTTAATAACTTTGTTTTCAGAAATTTTATATCTCTGAAAATTGTTAATTAAATGTTGGCGAAAATATTATACGATTCAAATAGTACTTCTTTTTTAAGAATTTTCCGCAAGATTGCAATTGTAAGTCAAAATTACGTCTGTAAACGCGCGGTCCATAAGACATAACAACTATTTCTATTCTCCCTATTACGCGAACGATATGGTATAAATATCGGCATTAGGACGGCATGTAGAATGCGCGTGCAATTTATTGAGCACATTCTATTACACTTTGATTGCCCTCCGAGAGACATTTTGCGAGATCGTTAAACCGAACGCGTCGAATGCAGCTCTGCAAATAAACGATGTTCGATCGCGTCGTCGTCTATCTATGATTACTGGCTCAGTGGATCCCATAATGGCATGCATCGGCTTTCCTCACTTGATGAACCATTATGAAAAGGCTGTATCACATACATCGTGTCTTGCAAGTTGCGCTCGCTATACCCTGAAAACGTTTTCACAGGTGTTCCATAGATTATAAACGTACATAGACGCGGGGAAAATTAATCAAACTTTACGCTATTTACGACATAATCTTCACGACGTAACCGTAATTATTGGCTAAATTATTACAGCCTGCGCTTTCGCAACGTAATGAAGTTTTTGCTTACCATTGGTCGTATCACACCTTAAACTTAGGTATATTAGTTTCTTATTACGTTACCTTCTTATCCCATCTAATTTTATAATTTTCCACTTCTATCTACTTGTTGATGCTAAAACTCTCACTGGCTAAACGTTAAACGACTAAGGATACGCGAGGCTGATATAGGAGGCAGTACGTCGGTGAAGTTAGTTAGCAGTATAACGTTATTATGTTCTCCTACACGTAGTGTGTTACACTTCACTGTACTCTCTAGTACCTCGTATATAGCACGCCGACCTCCTGTCTATTACTCTTCACCTTGGGCGTTCCCCTAAGTTGGTCAAGTCCATGAGTGCACGCCTCGAGGATGCATCGCTAGCGCGCGATGCTAAGCTCAACATAATCAACCAATTTTGGTCTCGAGGAGAAGTCGATAACAACGAAATATCACGGCGTGAAATATCACTTCTTAGTAACGACGTGCAATTAGAAAAGTTCTTAAGCGTCGCACAAACAGATCGCTGAAATCACACCGATTACCGTGTTGGCGTGTCAATATATCGGGGCGATATATCATCCCAGATTTGTCCAGCCGTGTGAAATATCAACGCAATAAATTTAAATAATTTATTTTTAATCTCGTATCTGCAAAGAAATTAATACAACTGTCACGGTCGATACCACATTTTGATATGTCAATTGACTATTAACTATTAATTAATGTTGCTTTTAGTGATTTAATGTTACATGTAACTGCGATTCCGCGATAGCTCAATATCGGGAAATGTTTGTGAAAATGTTGGAGCTTTATGAAATCGATAATTCTTTTCTTTGGCAATAGGAGAGTGGCGAAAATCGAGATAAAGCTTTTCTTTTATCAGCTTAAACAATGGATTTCGAGTTAATACATTGTTAAGAGCGCCGATAAATATAGAGCAGAAATATATATTGCAATGTCGACTACAATGGTATCGTATCATTGGTCGGCGCCCCGATGCTCGTTCGTAATAGTGATACGTGCGGGCTGATCCATTACTCGGCAAATCAATTAGGACATGGGCGCGACCGGCGTCGTAGCGTGGAAAAAAAGCGTGACGAAAACAAAGCATTTAATCGGATTTTGTTTTATCGGCCGTACACGCCGAACTCACGGCGGCAAATATTTCATGGCAACAAGGGGGACACCGTGGTGTTCCTTTTTTTTCTTTTTTTTTTTATATCAGTGTCCGCGATAAAATAGGCCCCATATTTCAAAATTCTATTCCGGTCACGATTTTTTGTTACCCTCTTTCCGAAATAACGCCGCCGAAATGTCGATATTATTACCCGGCCTTCTGTGCAATACCTGAAAGATTTAAAGAAAACATAGCGCACAACTGCACTCGTATCTGCAGCAGTTGCATGTTTTCATTTGTTAACATCTCGTAAAACATTGCGGAACTGCTTCAATAAATAATAACCTCTAAAATAATAACTGTGAAATTTTCCTAACGGATTTTAATATGAAATGCCAAGAAAATAATTTAAGGGGGAGAGAGAGAGAGAGAGAGAGAGAGAGAGAGAGAGAGAGAGAGAGAGAGAGAGAGAGAGAGAGAGAGGCAAATAGCCTCAAAATAGAATTTGTTATCACGGTTTAATAATCGCTTATCTTCAAAATTAAACAACAGCAGAGTGAACGGGATGTATACGGGCCGAGCTTCCGATCAAAAGTTTGCGTCTACCGTAAACTTTTATGAAACTTACGAGATGACTTCTTCATGGTCTCTACCCAGAGTGGATTGTATATGCATCTCGCAAAACGCGTTGCGGTTCCGCAACGAAATAGAGGTGATTGCGCGGAATATGTTATAAATAAATACTGCGTGTTCACGAAGTTTTTTCTTGTTAGCGTCCATCGGCGTGATATAACTTTTAAGTTGCCGCGATATTTTCCACGATCATATTCCACGTTGCGTTCAAATATAAGAAGATTTCCTCTGAAAAATGAAAATAAATCTCACGTGTACGCGTTGAATTTACCGGTTTTCAAGGTAAAAGTAAAATGATAAAAGAAAGTTACGAACCACCGGTCGTTGTGACAATTGCACGGACACATTTTCTTCCGATCGTATTTCATCGCGAAACATGCTCCTTTTCAAGATTATTAAATCTTATGCACGCACATTTCAACGATACATTTCGTTCATCGATGTGATATTTAATTCCGGATGATTTCCCGAGGCCATGACCGGTTAAAAAGGTTATAAATTTATCAGATTGTGACGACGCTCTCGTCCCCAGGTGATAATTAACGGCGCCGCAAACTTTTCCATAATTTTATAAAACTTTTCCACAAAGTGCGGTTAAGGGGGAGCAGGCGTTTCCCTAAAGTTAGTCCTGCTTCTCATTAAAGGCGGTGTTTATTGGAATTGTTATGCATCCTCTTTTGCATTTTTATGGATAGTCCTTGGCAGTAACGTCGGCTCCCCCTGCTCGTTTTTCTTACTCCGCGTCACGCGGTATCGTATTTTCACGTTGGCAGATCATTCGCGGCGCAATGAGCCATTAATGAGAACATGAAATGAATATTCATAACACTTGTAATAAAATGTTATGATCTTATTTTCCAGATAAAAAAAAAAACATGCATTTCGCTAACGGAACGGTTCGTAATATATAGAAATAACGGGGAAATATCTCTCGCGGATCTCATTTACCGCGACCGCCACTAATAAAATAATTAAGCCAGCGTAATGGATTTAATTCCATGTGACTACATATGTAATGCGATACACCGCACACTACGATGTATGAATATCCGATAGATATGAAAAACAACTTGCGTAACGTTAATATATGCCAGAGAATACACCGTGTGCCGTGTTCGTAATGTGTAATGTGTAATGTGTGTTCGTAATATGTAAATTAACCGTTTAAGTACAGATTTATATAGTCATAGAGATGAGAACAATATAAAATATGCCATATTATTTTACCACGCTATTATAATATATGATTTTGTATTTACTCTTTTACGTGTATCGTTTTTTGCATTGAGATATCATTATGCAAAACAGCAAGCTTTTTAAAACTTTGTTTCGTATTAAACGTAAAATGTCTTTGCATCGATTTTTGATGCGAATAGATTTATCTTGTTTCACTATCGGTAAATGTATGAATATTTAAGTTAATTTACGTATATTGTTAATTACAATATTGTCCTTACGCGGATATGTTAATAGTTATTATTCCAACAAACTATGCGT